ACTAGTAAAAGAGACATGTTCCAAAATCCCCCATAGAAATCAGCTTTGTGTAAAACAGACTTCGTACAAAAATTATCACAACAACAACAACAACAACAACAAAAAAAAAAAAAAAAAAAAAGGTGGAAAAATTGCAAAAAAATAATTACAAATGGATTTTATATACCGGCATATTAACTTATTTTGTTATTTGTTTCAATTATTGGTTTTTGCAATTATCCGCCGATTATCATGCTCAGGTTTCAAGTTTTCGGAGTCTTAAATACCTTTCTGATTCACAGTTACGATATCCTTTGAATTTAATTTAGTTCACCAAGGTTTAAAATTTTAAAGAATTACAGGCTTGTAAATTAAGTTACTACCTATGACTATTAATGAACACATGCTACTATTTATGTCACTTGAGGTAATCATTCACGTACTAAAATCATGGCCAAAGCATTTGGGGGGGGGAGAATAAAATTCTTTGTTTGGTACTTCTTTTATTTTATAAAGCATTAGCTTCATAATTGTATAAAAATGCTCATAGTGAAAAATTTAGTATTTCGTATTGTTAATCTTTTAAACTACTTTAAGAATATTCAGGATATATAAATAAGATAATTTTTTTTTCTTCCTCAGTTGGCTGAATTTGGAAGCAGCTGCTTTAACAAAACTGTTAATAAATCTAAGCAAATTATTGTCCTTATCTCGCTTTTAATCTTTCCTTGCATGTACTGGGATAACTAAGATATTCATCTGACAAGCCCAGGTACTTATTTCAGATATCTTTGGTAGTATTATTTTCACTCTGTTTATTCACTATAAAAAATCACATCAAATACAGCAGTTAAATTTCTGCTTATGGATAAATCTTGTATCCCACATTACTATATTCTAATTTTTTGACCATATGGTTATGTTACGTTACTTAATTACGGCAAAGCCTCGAGGGCTATCGGCCTAAGGGGAGGGATGCCTTCGTGGAGGACTTTCTAAGGGAAACTGGCTCGTATACACGTTACACATGGGAAAAACCACGAAAACGCCCATGCTGCCAGCTCGTTCGCGGGATTCGAACCTCGGAACGAACTATCAGTGTTCAGCGGCTTTACCGCTCGGCCGCTGGTGGGCCTTGACCATACGGCTAAGCAGCTTCTTAAGTTTAATCCTTTTTGTTTCCGCTCTTTTCATTTTATTGCTGTCTGTCATTAAATGATTACAAGAATAATAATAATAATAAAATTTTAAAAATACAAAAAAAAAAAAAAAAAAAAAAAAAAAAAAGAAACAGTTACCAAAAAATCACAAAATATAGAATACTAAAAGAAATCATAAGGATTTTAAAAACTACTTTGAATTCTTTGTTCTTTACCGCTCTCAAATTATGTTCATTCTCTTTAACTTTTTCTTAACTTTTCGCGTACTTATTTCTTTTTATGCTCACTATTTTAAGATTTATAGAGAGGAGGTAGGTGACACAAACCTCAAGAACTCCGAAATTTATAATCATTGGTAATTAGACATTAATTATCCTGTACTCTCCAACACGCGTAAACTATTCAAGTTCAAATTTAAATTGCTCTTGAAGCTTTTATCTTCACAGAGTTATGCGTCGAATGTAAAATAGTCGCATTTTCTTAACAAAAGGTAAAAGCAAACTGGAGGTGTCACGAACCCATTGAGATAGAAACCGCAGTAACCCTCCTACCTTCTTAGTGGGGCGGGAGGTGCAGGTGGTCCCTCATTAGGCACAATTAAAGACATGAATAGGGAGCTTATGCTCTCACTGAAAAGCAATCCTAACGCCGTTTGTAGACTCCTTCTTCCCTTTCTAATAGAAATTCACGTAAATAAGTTTTCTGAATCATTTCTCCTTGTGCGGTTGAAGCTGTATTGTACTATACATGGATTCTTAACCTACGGGCCATAATCCTAACACCGGGGGAAATAAAATTATCATAAATAGCAGCTGGGTTGCTGGAAATCACGTCATGCTCGATTGCAGTTGAAGTAGGAACTTCGTAATGATAAAAGACTAATAGTGCAGTTAGCACTTTTCGACCATTTATCAGATGGGAAAGGCACCAAGATTTGGCGATTTTTTCTCCCTGCCCATAAAGAAATTAATTTGCTTTTATCGAGTCCAAAATATTTTCTACCTGCGCCTTTTGGATATTTTAACGTATTTCTTTAAGCTGGTCTTATACAATTAAATATTCCGCAGAATCAGAAGGGATTAAACAGCCACCTATCTAACATATTTTCTGCTTGTTCAAGTACAGCAGAGGTGCTATGAATTTTTTGTTTTGAAAATACTAAGGCTGAATATGTTGAAAGATCGAGATCAGCTGTCCAGGGTTAGTAACTGATTTATTATATTGATACAACAAAGTATAATTCACGAGTAGTCCACTAGGCGAATGAATAAAACTACTGAATCCTAGGAATCCAACCCGAGCTCGAATCCCGGCTGCAGGAGTGTTCACGTAGTAATGTGACTACGAGCAATTTTCTTTTGGTGGTGTAGTGGTGTATTTAATTATGGCAAAGCACACTAGGGCTATCTGCCTAAGGGGAGGGATGCCTTCGTGGAGGACTTTCTAAGGGAAACTGGCTCGTATACAAATTTCTTTTGGAAAATGCTTCAAGGTAGCATCTTTTTTCTTGGCCCAATAGTCCTTTCGTGCTTTTTCATACTCATCCAAACAAATAATCATATAGTATCTCTTCAGGTTAGTACCACGTGATATCTTAAAATAGGAAGATGAAAATATTCCTTGAGGGAGTTTTATTCTTAAAGGTGTATGTGATAATGCTTCTTAAAGGCTGTTGGTTAACTTCCCTTTGAAAACACACTGTAATATCTTTATCGCCACCCTATGTAATATATTGTTAGATCATTAAAGAGGAAATGATATTTTACCCCTTTGAAAAGCAATGTACAGTTAACACTGATTTTATAAATTTGTACATCTGCCACCAACGGTCAAAATTTCAGCTGTTGTTCTAATCTGGCCGAAACATCAGAGGCCAAAAATATGATAACATATTTGGCTTATTTAATGCAGAATGATTTGGAGCTAAATGACAAGTAGAAAATCTGTAGGAAATGAGAGATAAGGACGTTTCAAGACTTCTTTTCAGGCATCCCTTCCCTTGGGCAATTGGCATTAATGTGCATTTCCAGAACCCAATAAATCCAAATCCAATCTTCATTTTGTAAATTTCAATTTAATGCAATGTAATATAATGTACATTGTAATTTTAATTTTTTATTTTTTCGATTTTACAAATATATATATTTTTTACACTTTTAAAATTTTTTCTTGTGACGTTTTTATTTTAAGCCTAACGTTTCCCCTTTTTTAAATGTTTACTGATGTTACATTTCCATTTAAGTAAGCTTACATATATTTCTCTGTCTACGAAATTTAAAATGGAATTCATATGCCTATCATTTCCCTCTTTAGGCCTTCGTGGATAATATTTTCTGTATCCTAAAACCGACTAAAACCAATATGTACAATGTTTATTCTAATTAGTTTAGTTGGAATACATAAGCAAAATATTACATTTATTCCTTTTTATTCTATTGACACTTAATTGGAGAGACTCAGAACTTTCTTCAAATGTACTGCACTAACTACGAATGACTGTACTAACTTTTTGAAAACATTATTCAAAATATCTCGGATTCTCTGTTACACATTGTAGTCTTGTTCAAAGGGTTCAACAAACTATGTCTATGAAAAAACATCACGAAATCTCTTTTAAACATCTTACTTATATTCAAATGATTCACCAAATTATGTCCAACAGACGAAAGTTTTAGGCCTTACTACTTTCAATTTACACATTTTGTCTTAGATTAACTTTTATCCTAGTTTTAAATCATATTCAAGTTACATTTCTAATTCCTCTTTTCCAAAAGTAAAACAAGCTTGCAGAAGCTTGTAGAGACATTACGTACTTTTTGGAAGCGGGAATAGTGAAAAATGAGCAATGCCTTCGCCGGAAATCGAACCACCAACCTCTGGAATACGCGCCCAGCATGCAGACTACTACACCAGGAAGGTAGGCTAAGAAGGCAGGAGAAATACTTTATAAGCTTCTTTATTGTAAGATCTACTTCAACTGAATCAAATTTTCAGGAATAATAAATTTCCATGGCATAAAGTCTTCTTAAACCAATACATGTACATTTTCACCTGTTAGTTCAAATAAATACTTAAAAAAATGTCACTTTCTTATCATTTTACGACGCAGACATTTACGCGAATGTACATAGAACACTCTTTCTTATTCAGCAAAAGGATTGATTTATATCATTAACGCAGATTCTATTAATACTTCGAAAAACTTTACGAAAATATCTTCGACTTTCTAGTACACACCCTAGTTTAAAGCATTAAACATATGCTCAAACTTGATTTTCGACATGTTAAAACAGCACACGACTTTCTTAGCATAATGCCAACATCTACCGCAAAGCCTCATAACCACTACTATATTCAGACTTACACAGATTTCACTTTCTTAACAAGGTACATGGAAATCGAATTTCTTTTAACTGTAGAGAATTTCCACATTTAACGTCTTATTTAAATTCGAATTATCGAATATTAAGCCAGATCTGTGAGAAGAGAACTAAAAAAAGTCTGAAAATGCACATAAAATTAATATTCAAGCATGTAAATAAAAGCTTGACTCTTTTTCCGAGTCTGGAACAGTTTTCAGCCAGTATCATCATTACGTTTTATGAGTCTTTTAGTACTTTAATATACTCATTCTAACTTAACCTAAAAGATACGCATTTCACATTGACATCATTTTAATGAAAATTGACCTCTGATAGCTTTCTGAGAATATTTGACATTTAATTTATCATACTTAGCAAATAAAATCTTGAATAAGCATCATAGATAACAGAAAATAATGACATGAATTTCAAGTAATAATTCAACACAGTAGTTAAATGTTTACAGTTTTAACACATTTATTCTAACTCAAGACACGCACTTCAAATTGACATTACTTTATTTCATACTGAACTCTTACAGCATTTCTTAAGCTAAGCAAAATATATCTTCGGTTGGTACTCATTACAAAAACGGCTTCTCGACACAAAGGAGGTATCAGAGATTTTACATAAGAATATTGTAACGCCAAGTATTCTTGACTAGCATAAACTGTTATTAGACCTACTTGGAAGTCTGTTAGCGACTTATCGCTAAGATTAGAACATGAATACAATAGGGGCAGGGTGTGAAAGACCCTTTTATTGAACTCAGTTATTTAGAAATGGCACAGTCTTTGTGCTTACAAATCCACTATTTACTTATGGCGATAAAACTAAAGATGACGGTAAATTAAACTAAATTTAAAGATAAACTAGTAGTTCAGGACTACGCAAATTGATTTAACCTAGCAGGTTGACTCGGAAACCTACATCGACGAGATATTAAACTTCGGCGGCAAGAATGCGATGCTGAGATTCAGAATTCAAACAGCTGGTAGAAAAAAACAACGTGCGCAGTTAATAGCGAAACACTCTATGCCTAACCTTTTCGCTACTTCAGATTAAATACACTCTCTTTCACACTACCTCATTTACATTCTGGCGAGTAAACGCGAGATAAGCAAGAGATGATAAAGAAAGCTAACAAATTAAAGTAACTATGAATAAAAATAATATAAACCTCACAACATGATAGTTTTCATATAAAACAAAATGAACATTTATGTTACAACTTAATTTATATTAATTACGAGAACAATTTTCTTTACATCATACATGGAAGTAATTTCATAATTAGGGTAATTATAATCCCGTATAAAAATTTTGTATTTATTTACAGTTGATTGAGTTGTACTTAGACCCAAATATAAGATATTTTGACATTTTTAATAATTTATGTAAGCTATGGCCAATGTTTTAAGATCAGTTTCAATATGTTAATGTGAATAAGAATTTTCATTAATCAAAGCTCTGTAAATAATTCGTTAAGAAGAGTATTTTTTGCAGAGATACCATACAAAAAGATTAGTTTTGTTTAAATTAGATTAGATTAGGTTATTGTAATTGTTCCATGTGATACAATATTGTGAACATAGTCTTCAAGCACAGCAAGGTACCGTTGTGTATTCATTGTGTCTCGAATAACGGATGGACCCACAACTTTCGTAGAGGTCGTGATACACCACTCTGTGACCTCTGGGCGATGTTGGCTTTTTTCAACAACCTTCCTAGGATCCTCTCCTGCCTAGTGATAACAACTGTGCTGGTTAACAAACCCCCAACATGGAACAAGGCTTCGTCTGACCAAAGGATATTACTGAAGAGATCGGATTAGTCTTCCTACCAAACAAACACCATCTCCCCATACTCCAAGCGATAATCACAGACTTCAGGCGATAATTACTGGCAGTAATAGGATTTCCATGGACGAGAATTCAACTCTTCCTTCAGAACAGTTCGGATTATGTGATGGGTTAAACCACTTTCGCGAGATGCCTGTCTTCGTGATTTCTGAAGATTTCGAGTGAATATTTCCTGAACCTCTAGCACGTTTTCCTCCTTCCTAGATGCTGAAGAGCAACCGCTTCTCCTTATACTTGCTACAGAACCTACGTTATTAGCTTCGCATGACAATTTCTTATGATTTTTGGATCGAACTAGACATTAAGTCCTTTTACACTTAACTACCATCTCTGTACTTGACCACGGACTGTCATACTTCGTACTGAGATGCAAGCTGAGCCCGCTCACACAAGGTTATACGTTGGGCCATGGTCCAACATTGGTACCTATAATGACATAAATGAAATATCATGTAATAAATTCGTGCATTAGAAGGAACAAAATGCTTTTTGTTTCATGAAACTTGGTTAAGCATTAAAAAAGTTATAAACAATTTTCTAAAGGGAGTTAATTTCCGCCTACCCTATTGAAATAATCCACATTACAGTTAAGAGAAAACTATTTTAACAGTTTACCTGTAGGTTCAAGCAGTTTGATAGGAAGAATAAGTTTAGTTGACTACTAAAATTAAATTAGTATTCAGAACAAAAGTAAATAACATAATAACGTAATCGTAAATAACGAAATTAATATCATTAGGGATTAAGAAATTAAGTTATAAATAACATTCATCTGCAATCACAGTTTATAAGGTATTTCTCCCGTCTTCTAAGCGAGCCTTCGCGGTGTAGTGGTCTGCACGCTCAGTGCGTAATTTAGTGCAGAAACACTACACCACGAAGGCACTCTAGAAGGCTGGAGAAATAATCTTATATTTATTATACCTTATACAGTAATCTGCACATATTTTACACAAATGCGTATCGTATTTTATATAAAGTTTACAAGTTTTATAGCTAAACGTTGGACTAACTGGATTGCCATACCTTTGACATATAAGGAATTCTAATTGCAGCTAATCAGCTGTGAGTAAATTTGGCAAGATCTATTTGCCTAAAGTTGATAGTACGCTTTTTAAAGACCTTCTCACTTAGCAGACATCTCTAAAGTGTTTACTACAATTAATTAACAAATTATTTATCATAAATAGTCAAGGTATACCTGCCTAGTAAGATATACCTCCATATAAGACTTTCTAAGGCTAATTGGCATAGGTTTAGGCTCCCCACTGGAGCCACAAAAGTTTTTGTGCCAGGTAGCCCGTTTTGCCTTGTACTCAAGAAGGACTACCGTTGACTTTATCAACTGTAATAGTGATGAATCATAAGTATAAATATAATACTGCAGCAATAGAATAAAATTATGATAAATTCTGATAAGTGAAACTCCAAAGAAATTAAAGGCCCACCAACGGCCGAGCGGTAAAGTCGCTGAACACTGGTAGTTCGGTCCGAGGTTCGAATCCCGCGAACGGGCTGGCTGCATGGGTGTTTTCGTGGTTTTCCCCATGTGTAACGTGTATACGAGCCAGTTTCCCTTAGAAAGTCCTCTACGAAGGCATCCCTCCTCTTAGGCAGATAGCCCTAGTGTGCTTTGCCATAATTAAATACACCAAAGAAATTAAAACTTTTTTTTCTTTTCACTTGCAAAGCTAATGCGAAAATAAAACTGTAAATTCTATTTATTTAAACCCATCTTTTCAGAGGAAAAAACAACATTAGATCATTTATTTTTGCTCCATAATGTTATTCATTTAATCTTCATGCGAGGGAGTTCTGCTTCTTCTATTCTGTCTCTTACTGTATCATTCATTATTCTTTGTTTTCTCTTTTAACTCTGTTATGGAAACAAAAAGTACTCCACAATTGCAGTTTTCAATATAAAATTCTTATAAAGCTACTATAACTTTGTCTCTGAAAATAAGAACATAATATGTTTTACTGAGTTAACATAAACGAAAAGAATATTATAAATTAAAAAAATATTCTAAATTTTAAGAAAAACTTTAAGAAAGGCTTATTTACATTTATTAAAATAGCAATTTTACAGTCTTGAAAAGAACTTTGGGAAACAGGTATCGAAATTACAAGACCTAATTGCGCAAGAATATTCAAAAAAAGTAATGCGAACTACATGTCTAATAACTTCTATTGAACTTCATCAAATTAATACTTTCTTGTACTAAAGTGAACTAGAAAAGTCTTCCCGTAGTAAAACTTCCCTTAATAATTCTCCCGGAATTCAGTTCCTTGCTTCCGAACGGTTGGCTGCATGGTTTCTTTTGGCTATCCTCGTGTATATATGACTACAAGTCGATTTTCCTTAGAAAGTTTTCCGTGAAGGTATAAGGTATTTCTCCCGCCTTCTTGGCATGCCTTCATGGTGTGGTGGTCTACACGCTGGGCAAATATTGAAGAGGTCCGCTGTTCGAATCTCGGAGAAGGCGCTGCTAATTTTTCATCTTGCCTTCTTCCAAAAATACCTAATGTCTCTACAAAGGTACCTTCCCAAGGGCCTATAATCTTTGAATATTTTGAACCTAAACTTTCAAAACTTCTTTCCTCTAGACAGCTACTTGGCACTAATTACTTATTATATGACTCATATCCACTAAACATTCAGCTCCCATTTAAAGCCCAATTTTCAGTGTGGATCCAGGTATGCATATCTATGAACAGCATTCGTATGAAATATTCATTCGTATCAAATATTCATCGGTATTTACTAATTCTGAAAGGTATTATTTTGAAATAATATATTTCAAAACAAATCTGTCGAGGAAATTATATGGATTTAATTTGAATTTATACAATTAATTCATAATATTTTTTTGAAAAACGTTTTCCCCCGAAAGCGGGTAAAGACTTTCGATTCTCTTTGGCGGTAATGTATGAGCTCTAACCGTTTCATGTGTACTCACTGATGAACAGAGGGCTTGGGCAACCTCACAATCACTTTCACCGTACTCACTGCTTCATTAATATTCAGTGATTCTGCTAGAGGGGAAAATAGAGCGAAAGGAGCCATTAAATCCCGGATTCAATGAACCAAGCAAAAATCTTGTTCGCGGGTTTGGTTAACATCTGTCAATTGGAGTCGACAGAGCTACTTTCAATTCTTTTCTATTCATTGCTTGTTGGAGAAAAGCATTCTGCGTTAGAGAACAAAACTTTTTCTAGACGATATAACAATCTGGTTCAGAAAGCCTCTCGATTTCGTTACATTCTAGAGCCTAAGAACAGTATTCGAAAAATTTCAAACTACATTATAAAGAACTTTCTTTACAAATCCTAGAAAAAATGTTTCCAAAAGGTTTAAACTGCGTTATAAAGAACTTTCATTATTAAATTTTAAGGAGTATTTTGGAAGAATTACGTTACATTTAAAAAAAAACTTTCATTTTGAAATCTGGAAACAGCTTTCTAAAATATTTAAGTATTTTATAAAATTGATTATTATCTGTTATCCGAAATGAGACTCCACCTACGTCGAAAGATTCATCGTCAGTCACTTGAGTTTACATGGTGAACATCACACTAAGCGAAAACTGAGAGCTCTGCACAATTTTATTTCTACAGCAGATGTGAGGGTCTGCTGAATAAGGAAAGAGATCAAATTTAGAAATATTTAAATTGCAGATAACGTGAATCCTTAGCAACAGTTTATTTGCTGAGATGATGATCTGCGACGAAATACTTATTTGGCCCTCTTAGAAACATGCTTTGTCTATCCTGAGTTCTAAAAGTTCTAAGATGTCTGCTATTATATAGCATTAACGTCTGCAATGACCGGATTTTTTTTTTTTTTTTTTTTTTTTTTTTTTTTAAGCCTTTCCATTTTCGAAACTAAAATAATCCCATGAAACAAACAAGAAAGCAAAATCACATACATACAGTCAATTTTATACAATAAATGCTCTGACCTACGTTGTTTCGACTATTGCGTCGCTTGACCACTCATGTCGCTCGACGTGTAGCAATAGGGATTTCTTGGAGGTTGTGGTGATTTTGTAGGTTTCCTTTCATATACGAGTATGAAGTCGCTGTAATACGAAAAGATCTGAATCTGGAATTCGATGCTGAATACATTTTAGAAATCCTAAACTCACATCCAGCTTTGCTCTGAAATTTCATAAACAATGCGCACGGGGGGGGGACATGAGGAATCTGACTTTTTCTGTGATGAAATTTTGGGAACACAATGGCCAAAATTTTTCGTAAGCGTAGTGACTCGCTAGTACATTGTGTATAATCGTCCACTCAGACATCTACAGAAAGTACTATAAGGTTTTATAATAAACGTTGTTTTAAGTAGCTTCGCAAATGGGATGAATATTCATCATTCATCCCATTTGCGAAGCGAGAGGTTAATTTGGGCGAACAACGAGGAGCAACCACAACCAGGAAAGAGCTATAAAATATTATGGTCTGTTATCAGAAGCTGGAGAAAAAAAGAACAACTATGTACGTTCACACTTCAAGGAGATATGTCTTCTTCAATTCGAAAACACTGTTAATCTAGAAAGAACGTCCGATCTTATAATTATCGAGTGAATTACATATACTTGTAATGATTATTAACCTTTGTACCACATGGAATAAACATAAATTGTAATTTCATGCATATCAAATATTTTGTTAATTACAAATAAATATGGTCTTCATTATAACTGGTGAAAATTAATGTTTTTGGTACGGTACCTTTCTATATTAACGTTTTGTATAAGAAACATTTGTCTGAAACACTGTCCTTAGTATTGGAATAAATTATTACGTTACTTCAAGACACTACTGCGGTTATATATTAGACACCAAAATATTTCTCGATCATATTCGCATAAAAAGTACAGAAGTTTATAAATAAGTTTACTCATTTCTTAATATTCATTTACATACATATTACGGGTTAAACATTTTATACTAAGTGGGACATTTTTACCATTCAGATTTTTATATCAGAGAAAAATATAATGCAAAAAATTAAAAGGTTGCTTGCGATGAGCAACTTAATTCAGGAAAAGGGGCAGATAACATCTCGTACAAATAAAAATCCAATATTTTTCCTTAGAGCGATGTTTTCATTTTTAGAAAAAAGCTTATAAAAGCGAATACCTAGCAGAAAAATGCTTTCGATCGCGTTCCTTTCCTGACATAAGGAGATCGATTCCCACCGGTTATAGCGAAGTGTCAGAAAGAGGAAAAGGTTAATGTTGTAGGGTCAGTCAGACCAAACAACCGCCCACAGAAGGAGCCCCTAAGAAATGTGGCATTCCGTCGATTTGAAAGTCAGGTACAGGTGTTGACAGACACAAAGCCCCCCTCACAAATACGTGCCTATGTGTAACGAAGGGTGGAGGTAACCATGCAGAACGCAAACATACCAGCAC